TTTGTGCTGTTTAATTTTCATTGATTAATGTACATTCTCTGATGAATCTTTAATAAAAGTAAAACATGTTACATTGATAAATGTTGCCAATCTATTCTTTATCTTATCATTTCATCAGATGCCAAACCACATTTGATCTGTATTTGATCCCAATTCATATATATATATATATATATATATATATGGTCAATTATAATAAAGAAAGTTGATATATAATTCTTATAGAATGTAAATATAGTAAGGTGATGAAAAAAAATAAGACAAAGTATATTATTTTATTTTTATTTAAAATATTTAGGCATTAGGCAAGATAAAAGCATGTTTTCTCACTGTGCATTTATATCATCTACTAGCTTATATATATATATATATATATATATATATATATATATATATATATATATATATATATATATACATATATATATATATATATATATATATCCATATATATATACACACATATGACTTCACACATTATGAAATGGACAAAGTCCGAGAATTATTTTAAGACATTTTTTATGTTTATACATTATAGATACAAATATTTAAGTAAATGCTATGTTTTTATAATAAATTTCTTGAACATTCATGTTGGTAAATGTTGTTAATACTGTTTGTTATAAAAACAGAGCATTTACTTATATATTTGTATCTAAAAAAAGAATGTATAAACATAAAAAATGTCTTAAAACACACACACATACATACATACATATATATATATATATTTAAAGAATTGATGGTTTTATAATTATTCTAAAATTTTTATTATTTCAAATGTTATTTTTAGTGGCTACTCAAGTTTGAAATAAAGGCATTGTTTTTTGTTTTTATTTTAAACAGTCGGCATTATGTTTAACTGCCTGCACACATATGAAGACTTATTAAAGAAACTGTTTTCCTTATTAGTTTTCTTGAGGGTATAGACCAGTAGACATAATACACACTGGTTAAATCAAAAAACAATGAAACAATACATTTAGATTATAGACTTGTTTTTAAATTATTCAACCATATATATATATATATATATATATATATATATATACGTGTGTGTGTATATATATATGTGTGTGTGCGTATACATGTATTTAAATATATGTCTATATATTAGTAGTATGCAGAAGCTGGAGTGGGTAGAGTGTATGATGGCCCTAGAGTATCAATATCAAGAGTGCATCCAATCATAAAGTCAAACAAAAATTTAGTTTTTGAAATTTGAAATAAAGTGTTTATTTCATGTTTCATCTGTTTTTACATATTTAAAATATTTTCCTTTCTTGCATTTCTTAGTACAAGGACTTATACGCTCCCCACCCCACTTGAATCTTAGGGAGATACAATCAACATCACTGTTATATATATATATATATATATATATATATATATATATATATTTTTCAAGAGGATATAATCCAGGTAAAGCTCTATATCATAGGCAGACCAAGAATATAATATAAAAAGCTCAACACTAATATTTCATGGTTATAATTTATTTCATTTGGTTCATAATAACAACCCAACTCCTCAGACCTACAAATTCAAAAAGCTGTACATATATATATATATATATATATATATATATATATATATATATATATATATATGTATGTGTGTGTGTATGTATATATATATATGTGTGTGCATGTGTATATAAATATATATGTATGTATATCTATTCATATATATATATATATATATATATATATATATATATATATATATATATATATATATATATATATATAAAGTACATAAATCTGCATATATACAAAACACATATAGATATTGTGTATTTTCCTTCTATTTGATATTAATGTAACTATACCAGCTGATATGAAATCAAGATGAATTTTTTCCTCCAGTTTCTTGAAAACAAGTTAATAGAATTATAAAAGGCTCTCCATCAATTGGAGTCAAGTGAAAAAGTTAAAAAGAAAATGTTTGAGCTGAGGCACGTACATAACGACAGTTATAAGACAAAACAAAAAATATCAAGATGTCTGCTGTATAATTTTTGGTCACGTTCAAATTTCATTATGAAGAGAAAAAAAAAACCTTTAAAGATTTTTCAATTTCAAGTGGCTTCTTTATCATCTAAATCTTATAACCACATGCTTTGATGAAATCATGATAACACATTCATACACAGATACACACTTAATCTATGCATATGCACACACAAATGAATTTTATATATACATAATATACGATACATATATACATAATATAGCATACATATACAAACAGCATGTCTACACTCAAATATATACAAGTAATAAATAATGAAAGAATACCAGTTTAAATAAAATATTAAAAAATGATTCTATTAATTTTCAACATTTTCTTTTTGTTTTGATGAGTGATTCTCTGTATACATAGGGTGCGACAGAAATACCTTCCACATATTAATGGTAAGGTAACCAGTATTTTATCCGGAGTGATAACATATATATATAATATCTAGAGTTGCTGGTACCTTGGGCAAGCTAAACTCAGAAAAAATGAAAATGCCGAATAACAAACTTATTACTATATAGAACTTATATAAGTTATTATTCTAACAAAAACATTTTTTCTAGCCTCTAGATCTGCAAATCACTTTTTTTTGGCACTTTTTACACCTACAAAGATCATTTTCTATTGATAAAATAGCCAAAGAATTTAATCTGTCTTGAGTCATGGATGACCTGGTGGAACAAGGTGGCATCATGGTGTCCTTGGCCTCAATGGTGACTGCCCAAGATGCCAATAATTTGAGTTGACCCTGTGTGGGAGGTATTTCTGCCTCATCCTGTATAATTAATATTATACAGTAATTCAATAAATATAGTGATTTTCCAACTCTAGTTCAGATGTCTCACAAGGCTGAAAGTATGGAACACCCAGTGAAGATTGAACTCACTAGTGAGTCATAATAGTTCTAGTGAGACAAGCTTGCTAACCATTACACTGCCTCAAGGTGCCCAATTCAATAACGTATAATAAATGTATTGAATTTCCTTTTCATTTTGCTATTGAGAGCATCCAATTTTAACAAATATATTTAAATTAATTTTTTATTTACTTTTAAATATTCTCACATCACTGCAACAACAAATGCAATTGTGTTATTTTTATTTGAGGATTTCATTGCTTTGTTTTATTGTCGAATCAAAAACTGGGTTTATCTAAATCTTTGTTTTTTTTTTTGTGTATAGAACCAAAAGAAAAAAAACAAGTTTGTCGATACTTCCATTATCCAAAGGAAAAATTAAGACTTTTTTTTATTTTTGCATATAATAAGCAGTTTCTTTTTCTGCTTGTTTCTCAGTTCGTAACATTTTCATAGAAATTGTTCTGATGAGCTTTCCTCCTTTCTGCCTGGACTGCATGAATTTAAGCATGCTACTAGATTGGCAATTAGGTCTCATTGTTTTACCATTGAAATAGCTAGATAGAACTGTAAGTTTTATTTTAAGTTTCTTTTCTTGTACTTCTGGCCTGTGGAACTCACTTCTAATTTCTTGCTTCTCTGTCAAGTACAATCTTCCAAACTTTAAATGAAATGTCAATCACCATCTTCTGTTTCCCTTAAACTTGTCCTTTATTGTCATTTTCCTCACTAAATGTTTCTTATTCTCTTTCACTCTCTTTAACCACCATGTATCTTAGTGGCATTATTACCTTGCTGGGAGGGTAGAGGTGAAATGGTTAAAAAAAAATAATGAAAAATATCAATAGACTCACCGATTGGGGAAATATTCAGCCATTATCTCTAGCCCGATAGTGAGAAAATTTATTGTTATACAGGGTGTCCGTAAAGTTCGTGTGCACTTTAAAAAATTTCTAACTTTATTTGTATTTGCACTAGAAATAATCTGTAAAAAATGTTATAAAGTTTAATGTACCTAGTTTTAAGTATAGCTAAAATAACTCATGTGATTTCAGGCATTACTGTTGGCAAATGTTTTCCGTGAACTGCAAAATCGTATTACCCTCTGTATTGCTAATGATGAACAGCATGTGGAAACTTAAATAAAATTTCAATAAAACCTTAAAAAATATAGATTTACTTCTTTCTAATCCTTTTTACAAATTATTTCTAATGCAAATACAAATAAAGTTATAATTTTTTAAAGTGCACACGAACTTTATGAACACACTGTATTAATTATAGAACATGCTTGTCAAAACATGAAATGAGCAATCGCCATGTTAGCATATAACGGAATTCAAAAAATTTTAAAGATTAAATTATAATGTAAGAAAAGCTTTAAAAAAAATATAAAATTTAATTTATCGTACCACTTGAAGCAAATAAGATTTATTACCATCATAACAGAATTGTGAGGACAATAAAAAGACAAGAATTAAGAAACAGATAATGAGTGTGCTTAAATTCTTAAAGTCTATATACCATTTGTTTTAGAAGTTTTAGAGTTTGGTTGTTTTAACATGTTTAAAGATTCTATGGTATATTTGCTGTATGATTGGCAGTCATCATCACTTATTCTGTTTCTAAGTATTTATCAGAGCAACCTTTCTCTTTGTTAGTACAACAAAAGATGAAATGTCTATGAAAGAATGCTTCAGTATTATGAGAGAGAGAAAGATAAAAAGAAGTTTTAGAGAAGGTGTATCGAACAGGAGTTATAAATATCTTTCATATAAAATTTTATTTTAATTTTTAAGAAATGAATGCAACAGATAAGTCATTGTTTTCTTTTTCATCCTCTTTCACTCGTATCACTTCCAACTTTCCACACACATAAAAATAGAAATAAATAAAAAAAAATGAGGATGAAGATGCAAAAAAAAAGAAATAACAATATGAAGATGAAATTTTAAGATGTTTCAACAAGACAAACTGAAAGAGTCAAATTTGATAGCTTTTTTTTTGTTGTTGTTTTGTTTCATAGATGAAAATGGAAGAGAAAATACTTTAGGAGTCGCTAAACTATGTCCATGAAAGTGTAAGTCATTTTGTGTGTTCATTTTAGTTCCTTACAATGAGTTCAATTAGGGCATAACAATTCGTCTGTGTTATCTGCACAGTTTTGCACTTTATTGCATTTCAGATGGATAGAAATGCACTCTCCTGTTTTGCATTGCCACTTGTCACCTTCACATGCTGTAAAAAAAAAAAGGAAATGAAAGGAAACATGAATATTCAAATGTTTTAAGAATAATAAACTGGATACATTAAAAAAAAATTTACTGCAAAGAAACAATCTGAAAGACAAGGAAAGAAAAATAGCAAAACTCTCTCCTTAGTAATGTTTTCTTTTTCTCATATTCTCTCATAATCAGTAATGTCTTAGTGGCTTTATTGCCTTGTTTGGAATCAAATGATTAAAAAAATATATCGACATAAGCTGAAACATTTTACTATATATATTAAAGTATAGTGTCGGTTTTGATAATCAGTTTTGTAGAGTAAATGGCCATGGTTAAATGTAATTGGCAGAAATGCCCAACAAAGAGAATTGACAAAGTTTGCAATAAACAAGAAAAAGAAAAGAAAAGTGCAAAAATAATATTAGGCAAGCAAAAAATACATGTAAGGAAAAGCAACAGTAATATGGCAAATAGTTCACAAACTAAGAATGGGGTTAACACTTGTTGCAGGCCCCCTGGAGGGGAGTTATATATAGGATTTGTTTCCATATCTAACAGTTTGTAGACTTAAAAAATGCAATTATCAGTTGACATTGATACAATGTCATATAAATAAGCTAATGTTTTTTTTTTTTGAAGTGGTTAAAACCATGCATTTTTGGTGACCAGTTGCAGTATTCCAGTATACACAGGTAAAATTTTCTGGAGGGGTTAAAATTAATGCCAAAAAATTCAGAAGTTGTACTATATCTGAAATCAGTTTATATACAAGTATATACGGTATTTGAAATTAAGAAATAAAATATGGTTAGTAATCTATAAATTATTTGTATTAAATATTATCATCTGTGTTAATTTTATCCCATTTCTATGAAAAACAAAAAGAACTGTGGTTAATGTGTGTGTGTATATATATATATATATATATAATTACGTATCATATTAATATGGTTACGATGGAGACTCACAGAAAAAAGCAATGCAAGTCTTAAAATATTAAGTTAAGGCCCTATCATGTTGAAACAACAGTTCTCATACAATCACCAAAGCTAATTAACGTGAAGCCTGGTCAGTATCTAGATGGTCTAATGCAGTACTTCCCAATAGAGTTTGGCCCATGCTCAACTTTAGTATTTTGGGCCATGCCCCACTTTGGTATTTTCTAAAACTCTGGTGCCCTCCCTGTAATATTTAATTCTTACATTTTCAAAATTTTACTGCAATTCACATGAAAGAAGCTTAAAAGGCCATTAACTTTGTCTCTAAACAAGCCTCCAAAGACCATGGCATCCATGAAAGAGAAAAATTAAGAAAACAAAAAGACAGTTAAATATATATAATTTCAAAACATATAATAGACAACTGAAAGGCAGAAATATAAAATATTTGAATAAAAGCTTATTCTGTAATATACTTTGATCATTTTAATCATGAAATAATAATGCAAAATGAAATTTGAGCTAACGTTGGTATAGTAAGCCGAAGGGTGCACATCCATGCCCCACCAAAATATTACCATGCCCCACCAGTGAGGCATGCACCCCATGTTGGGAATTATTGCTTTAATGGATAATGTATCAGAATTGGAAATCATAGAAACAAGCTCCAATTCCAGTCTGATTTTTTTTTATTCTCTTATGCACTAAGGGAAAAGTATCAATTTACTTCTTCCTCAACCAGTTATGGGATAATTAGTAGAACTTACATCACTAAAAATCATTATTTCTGAAAAATTCTTACCATATTTTCTGTCTTTAAATAACCTGTAATGGGTTGATAAGCCATAAAAAAAAAATCTTAAAATAGTCACATAATTCAAATATTTCTTGGGATTTGTCTCACTTTCTGGAAGAAAATTATTGATTAACACCTTTTTTTCTACATCTAATCATTTTTTATATTACCAATTTTCATGCCATTTACAAAAGGAAAAAAATCAAAAGTTGAAAAAGAATCCCATTTTGGAAACCTTTTTTTTATCTTTGCTAATGGAATGAGCAATACAAACCCAGATGAATGTGCATTTATTTATTTATGTTTAACTGGAATTTAAATAGGGTTTTCTGATTCCTCAATCCAAGCTGCTATCCATTACTCCATCGTGTCTCTTAGACTTATGAATTATGCAGGAGGGGTTCAAGCTCCATAAAAGAAAGTTTTATAAGTAGAAACTCCTTTCTTTTACTAGGAAATCTCAACTTCTAACTAACTGCTTATTCATTAATTCTTGGGCCAATGAAAAGTAACCCAGCTTTGCACATCATTCTTTCTCTTTTTGTATTGTGACCATCACCTGATCCTAGCAAATATTTCAGAAATATGATATATTTTCCAATAATCCGTGTTGACCACACGATTAAAAGATTTTTTTCATTTCCTAGTCCTTAACCTTCATTTATTCTTTGCTTATTCACACACATACACACACTCAATGTTACAATACTAGTGTTACATTCAGTGTCATCACTGGATTCAATTGTATAGATAGTATCAATGAAAGATGGTTTCTTTTTATTACTCATTCTATTAGAGAAGAGGAACAGGTGTGAAAGCATTGATTATAATAGGCAGTGGGAGAAAGAACTTCAAGGGGATATCTTAGTGTCCCTCTGCATGTGGTCTTAGCCTGTCTATTGAACCTAGGGAGAGAGGGAAGACTATATGAAGACTTCAAAATTCCTGTGGCTTTCTGTTGATTTCAGGCTGTTTTGGGCTTATATACAAAAATTAGACAAAGGCAACTCTAACCCTGTCAGGTTACCATGCCCACAAGGTATTCTGACTAATCGCTGAGTATCCCAGCCCAGCCCAGATAGCCCAGCCCAGCCCAGCCCAGCCCAGCCTTCATATTCTGTAACACTAGTCAAAATGCTTCATGGCAGACATGTTTATTATTTGAAAACAATTTAAAAACATTTTTATAAAAACATTTTCGTATCATTTCTGATGACTTCTTGCTCAGTTTCTGCACTGTGATCAATCATTTTCTAGATCAGTTTTAACTACTTTTTTGGTCAGCATCCCTAACACAGTTTTTGAAAAGTTTAGGTGGCACGATCATTTTTCAAAATAGTGATAAAATTAAAGGAATTAATAATACATTTAAGTTAGCAATATATTTTCATTAACCTTTATCAGACTGTATTATTAATATTAATTCTATTTCCTCTGCATTCTTTTTCAAGGCCTTTCAATTGCAGTATTATTACTGTTAATTTCTCTCAAAGTTGTTTTCTGTTACCATAGCAGGATATGACAACACAACTATGTAATTCAAACAGACTATTGTTCAGGGATCAGAGTCATCTTCAGTGGCAGGATAAACTTTTTGTACAGCAAATGAAGTCACATAAGGAGTGATAAAGGTTAAAAAGAAAAAATTGTGCATATGTTGACGTCATGTATAGTGTGACCACTGAATTTTTTGTATGTATTTGAACTCCTCCCCAAAAAATTTACTTTTCACCAAAAATACATGATTTTTAACCTCTTCAAAAAAATTACCTGTGTATAGTGTGACTCCTTACTTTTTGCATAAAAATCTGATTATAAAACCTTGCATTATACTTGAGTATATATGGTGTATATGTTTTGTAAACTGCCCTTATCCCTTGGAAAAGTTCAAGTTTGTTCTTTGCAAATATAATTAACTGCATTTTTGCCTCTTCAAAGTGGTTCAACCTTTTCTGAACTTACCAGTAGCATTGGAAATCGGTGTTGTTGATGGGACACCAGAAGCTGTAATTAGAGAAAAGAAAAATGGTGATGAAAATACAGAAATAATTCATTGCTATTGTTTTTCACAATTTTATATATGACGACTGATATATTTTATCAAAAAACACCATTTTCACAATCACTCACACACAG